TACTTTCTTAGGCTATGATGGATTGTGCGACTGAGAACTGTTTACACACATGATGTGGTTCTGTTTGGGCCTTGTGGCAAAGATTGAGCGAGATGGCTCTTATATGTCGACTTGCTTATTGCACTTGGTCGGGTTTTTTCTATTTGTGGTATATGATGCTATATGTTTACCTCATTCGTTATGGTCATGGACTTCACATTCTTACTGTTGATGCACGTGCTTGGTGAGTATGAGAATTTGGGCAATGGGTAACCCATATGGACTGGTATGTTTGGATTGGGTTACGCGTCGCATAAGAGTTATGTTGGGATATGATCCTTTATGCTTATTTTGTGTGTTTTGTTTCTCCTCGGTGAGATGCGTTCATAGCATTGCGCGTTGCGGTGGTATCGATTGATCTTGCTTATGGTTCTCTCATTTGGTTCTCCTTTCATCGTTGGTTACATTTGAGTTGTTGCTTGTTTGGTGCACAGATTGCATAGTATGTAGATCTTGGTGTCATTGGTGTGGACTATCAGTCGAGTAGCTAGCATTGGGAAAAATGAGATTTTTGAACCTAGAGTTTGAGCCATTATATTGTGTTAGGGTATGTTTGGAAGAGTAATGTCACTAGTCAGCTTAGAATTTGGCTATGATATTTGGCGAGCTAGAGAGCTCCACGACTTGTTGATCTGATGAGTGGTTATGAATTTCTACATGCTTCTTTCATCATTGGCTGTGTACAAAGGTTCAAAACAAGGTTTAATTTGATATAAGGTATGTTGCCGGTACCGGGATTGTTAGTGAGCAGCTATTGTGGTCGGAAGATATTACTATTAGTATATGAGTTTTTGGGGTACATGGTGTGATTATATCCTGAAATATGGTTACGGCTTGATGCATCTTGTTTAAACTTATACAGTGTAAAGATGCGAGAATTGAGCCTTATGAACTAATGTTGGGTTCTAAGGTTTATGAACTAATGTTGAAGAAAGAATCTTCAGATAGGTTATGCTGAAGGACTTATATGGATTGAGGTGACATGGGATTACGCGTGTGTATGTGTATGGTGAGTTTATACAGTTATTTGATGGCTTTGGAATGATTCTTGGCACGTTCAAGGGAGAACGTATGTTTAAGTGGGGGTGAATGTAATGACCCGACAAGTCGTTTGAGCTTTAGCATTCCATTTAGTGGTTTGAGACTTTAAGTAACTTCATATGATGTATTATGACTTGTGTGTATGGTCGATTTTCGTTTTTGATTTGTTTGGGATTGATTTGGAAGAATGACTGTCGATTTGGAAGCTTTAAGTTGGTAGAGTTGACGAAGGTTTGACTTTTGAAAAAGCAGACTCGGGATCGGGTTTTGATGATTCCAGTAGGTTCGTATGATTTTAGAATTGTACGTATGTTCGGATTTGGTTTTGGAGGTTCCTATAAGAATTCGACACTATTTGTCGAAAGTTGGTAATTTGAAGAACTTAAGAGTTCATAAGTTTGACCAGTAATTGACTTTGATGTTATTGGACTCCAATTGGTATTTCAAGATTTAGAATCGGTCTATATAGTTGAGTTGAACTTGTGTGCAAAGTTTGGAAGTAATCCGACACGTGTAAGTGTGATTCGCACACTCTTTTGAACGAATGAAGATTTAACAACTTAAGAGAAATTTTATTCGGTTTGAGCCTTGATTCTTTTTTGCGATATTTTCGTGGGTGTTTTGAGCCTTTGGATAAGTTTGAATAATATTTTTATACTCATTGGTATGATTGGATGGGGTCCGGAGGGTCTCGATTGTGTTTTAGATCATTGTTTGAGAGACTGGTAAAGTTAAGGAGAGTTTGACCATGATCAATATCGAGTCAAGAAGACATCTTTTCGGTATTTTGAGTGTGGGAGCAGGTTCGTAGCGTGTTTTATGATTGAAATACGTATATTTGTATCCAGGAGATTCCGAATGAGTTTTGGGTGCGAAGATAAGGATTTTGTGCTTGCTGATTTTCTGGTACGATAATAACGAAAATACCAGCTATGTCCCTAAAACTTTTAGAATTTTTTTAAAATATCAAAACATCATATATCCCTCATTTTAAGGCCAAATTATGTGATTCAAAAGGCTATCTTGGGTGTAATCTCACAAGGATTATGTTAGGTTTATCAAATTTGAGTTTTGGAATCATCTTGGGTATGATTCTAGATGGGACAACTACTGTATTTGTTTTTTCTTGTTCTAGAATTTAGTCACTTTTTTTCTCACAAGGTTTTGGAGATCGGGATGAGGTAATGTTTGAGGGAGTTTTCATCTATTTCATTGGGATAAGTAAATCTAACTCGAATTTATAATAATAACATGAATCTATCATTGATTTTATCTCTAAATCAAGGAATCTTAAAGAAGAAAAGAGAGTTTTGACTTGGAAGATAAGAAGGTGCATACTGGGGGTTTTTGGCAAATATTTTTCCAAAGTCAATAATTGGGTTTTGAAAATCAGTTCGGAGTCAGATTTGGATGAAACTTCTATGGTTGGACTCGTATTCAAATGGATTGTCAGAATTTGTGAGTTTCGTCGGGTTTTGAGGTACGGGCCCGTGTTAATATTTTTGGTTGACTTTGAGTATTTGATTAAAAATTCGACCTTTATCGTTTGAATTTCGTTCTTATGGAATTATTTGATGTTATTAACTTATTTTTGTTGCTAGATTCGAGCCGTTCAGAGGTTGATTTGTGCGGCAAGGCATTTGTAGAGTATTGAGTTTGCTTATTTGAGTTATGTATCTTAACTAAACTTGGTTGAGGCACTAGTTTTCTAAGTTATTAGTGATAGCTATGTGCTATGGGTGGCGCACATGTGATGGGTTGAGCCCATGTACGTACACCAGGGTATTATCCATGCTCGAGGCAGTGGTTAGGCTACGATAAACCTTGAATTGATTGTTAAGCCTCATGTTATTATGTACCCATTTTTGAGCTAATTGGATCATATTAGAGGTTACATATTGGTTGACCCACTGATTGAACATGATAACTACTATTTTTGTGATGAAATTGCTTAATTTGAGTTATGGTAGTACACTTCGCACACGCATACACTTTAGTATGTCATTTATATTAGTGCATGAGTATGTAATTTAATATCCGTTGTTCATGAACATGTATTCCTGTATATATGCTTTCTATGTGATATGGACTGGACTGATAGCACGTGAGTAGTCTGTGCGGATCTGAGCTATGATTGCACGTGACTTGTCTGTGCGGTTGTTATTATTGGCACGTGAATTGTTCGTGCAGTTGTTATTATTGGCACATGAATTATTCATGCAATTGTTATTATTAGCACTTGAGTTTTCTGTGCGGTTGTTATTATTGTCATGCGAGTTGTCCATACAATATTTGAATAAGGATCCATCCTCCTAGGGTCACCCTATAATGTTTCTCTCTTGATAGTGTACACGCAAGTTCTGAGAAACCGCCGGGTTTCTGGTTGATGTGGATTTTGGTTAAGTTTGTCATTGATTGGACTTTGCATCTCTTCTCTATTTGCAAACTCTTGGATGTATGATTTTATGCATATCTTGTCTATATGAACTTGTTGAAGGATTAATTGCTATTTCTCGCGTATCTTCTCTATGTTAAACTATGGAAGGATAATTTTATACTTTACGCATTTCTTCTCTATATGCAAGTTTGATGATTTGATGATATTGGACGCATATCTTTTCTATATGCTGGATTGTTAACTGATTCAAGACTTAGCATGTTATCTATTTGTGCATCTATATGGTTTTACCTGTGTTATATGATTATATGGCACCATTGCTGTGTACTTGTGAGATTTAGGAATTGAACAGGTTATTAACGAGTGTCATTAATAATTCTTGTCATTATTACCTCGCCGAGATTAGTTGTGATACTTGTTGAGTATATGGGATTTGTTGTACTCATATTACACTTTTGCACCTTGCGTGTAGATCTTGGAGCTAAGTTACTGTGGATGGCGGAAGCTGGCATTGAAGATATACCTGCTTTTTGGATATAGCTACTACTTGTCCTTGGTAGTTTTGGATTCGTACTCAGTTTACATATATTCCAAACAGATGTTGTATTTATTTTCATTCCAACTTTGTAAATCTAAATCGTAGTGGCTCATGACTTGTACTACCAATCCATGGGATATTATATGAAAAGTTTAGCTATTTCATTTATTGATTATTTATGATCCTCATTATAATTGTGTAACTATTGTTTGACTTATCTAGCGGGTTGGGTTAGGTGCTATCACGACTATGTGGAATTTGGGTCGTGACACCATTGTAATAGGTCATCCAAATCGCTCCGTTATGAAAGCAGTCGCACTACCATATTCCAACAGATGCAATAGCTTTTTCTTGATTGTAGCTAGTCCACAAGAAACCATAGCATTAGAAATACAACCGTTACAATAGCGGTAAGAAACCGTTGCGATTTCCTAAGTAGCAATTGCAATAGCGTAATAACCATTGGACTAGACAATATGATAACGATTTTGAACTGTTTCAGTTGGCAAAAACACTCGTCGCAGCAGAAAGAGGAACCATTGCATCAGAGACATTGGCATGCGACATGACTTGCAATAGCTCAATGGCAACGTTTTACTTGTCTGTTGCATTGCCATTGGCCCATTTTCCAGTAGTGTAATTGGGGGTATTTCGAACTTTGTATCTTGTTTTAGACTTTCATTGTTTAGAAAGTTGATATTATCTATGCTATTGATCTTTCTGAGACAGTTCGTTCGTTATTGTTGGTTATCAATATTTGGTCTACCTTGCAAGTAGTGGCTTGTTGGGTGTCTTGCCATGGCCTACCGGTTTAGGTTATGACTAAGAAACAGTCTCTCGACATTGAAATACATCTTCTTTTGATTGCCAAAGTCGATGACTATCAGATACGCAAAATAACAGAGACTAAAAGCTATAGGTATTAGGGAACAAGAAATATATACATTGACATACTTACATGAGTGAAAACAAATTGAAAAAAACTACAGTTAAATGGTTTTTACTAAATTTGGAGTAAAAAGAAATAAATACATTACACGGCAGGCATTTGTCATCGCAAAAATAGTTCAGTAGCAAGCCACATACCTTTAAAAGAAAAAGAAGTGTTAAAATCTTCCCAAAGAGTGTTGCAGAAACAAACTGCTAAGTCAGCATGTCAAAAAAGTGGTAACCTTCTCTAAAACTTTTGCACTTGTGTACCAGGCTCGCTTCCACTTGGAATTGAAGTTAAGCTTTCCGTGTAAACAATAACTCTCAAACTTTTGGCAAAGCCTTGTAAATCGAATTCCTTTATTTCATTGGAATTAACATCATAATAAATAAGTTGCCCAGTTTTGTTTTGAAGCAGCAATAGATGATCCCTCCAAACAACTAATGGAGATTCTATAGGAAGAGGTTTAATTGTGTACTTTTTAATCCAAGACTCGCCTATACCGTATTCCTTCATTATCCAAATGTGAATAAAATCTTGTGTAGGATCAATTGCACACCCTGGATCGGGGTAACAAATCAACGACAGAGACTCATTTAACACTATAAGGCCATAACGTGATTGCTTAATAAAATAACAAGCACCCGGCATTTTAAAATTGCGAAAAAACTCTGTCCCTATGTCAAAACAAAGAATGACCACTTCGTCTATAGTTGCAAACCAGTGAACTGCTTCCTTGTAAACCATTTCAGAACAAGGCAACCAATATACCCTAGGCACTTGTACAGGTTCGAGTTCTCTCCAGGAATCAGTGCTTAATTCATATACATCAACTTTGCTATCTCTACCCTCTGGATAACCGTAAGGAGGATCCCAGAAGACATCTGAAATCCTTACAACCTTGAAGTCATTCAAAATTGAGACGAAGCCAAATCCAATGCCTTCAATGGTACGATGGTAACCCTTTGGACAACCAAAAGGGCAAGGTGGCACTAGTCGGTAATGTCTCGTAGTTGGATTAAGCAAGACGATTGCATCAGAATCTGTCAAAGCAATCAAACCATGGGAAGGACCTATAAGTTGGTGAAAAATACTTCCATAATCAGTGGTCAGATATGGAACATCTAGATCTGGAAGAATAGAATTAAAACCACCATTATCAACACCAGAAAGAAAAGACAAGACATTTTTAAACCGTTGTGGTTCTTCTTTGAAGGAGCACTTGAAGAGAATTAATTCATCTTTTGTGGTTGTGGTGCGGTTAAGATGAAGATTGGTGTAAGTGGTGGATCCTATGAGAATGTATAGTGCTTTAGAGATACATTTGAGTCGAATCATAGATTTTACCGGAAGCCTTATAAGTACATTAATGACCACATCTTTGGGCAATTTCTTTATAATTCCGCCCGCCATCTTTTATTCTTGGCAAAGGTATTGCACTTTTCGGAATGATGTTTATCTGTGTACTAACATTTTTAATACTTCATTCGATGGGGATTTCCTATCTGATTTGTATTGGATCCAAAAATCTTCTCCTCGCATATTCAGCTCCATCACAACCTACTAGCCGCACGTTTTTTAGTTTTTATTTTTCATTTTTGTGGTTCAAATGATTTTCTACGGCACCATTTTTGATTCTGTATGCGGTCGAAATCTATTAAGTCAGTCGTACGGACTGGTCGAGATAATAATACTTCGATCGAAAGATATCTACGTAAGGTCAGGTCGAGGTCCGAAGAAAGGGCTTCGGGATTCGAGCTCCAAGTCCGATCAAGGATTAATTCGGTATCATTATCGGGCCCATGATCAAATCCAACCACGAAGCAAAAGGTTGTCGGAGTTGCACAGACTGACCAACACCCACCCCGAATATCAAGACTCCGAGTCAGGATCGCGCTCGTGTCAAGGCCGATGGCTCGACCCGATATCGAGTTCGAGTCAGTTTCAAAGCTCACAGACAAGGCCGTTACAGCCGCACTAAGGGAGAGAATCCTGGCGGGAATTAGGAAAAAGACAATACATCATGGGCTCTCCACTACATATTTTTTATTGTATATAAAGTAGGATCCATCTACTATAAGGATGTGATGGATTGTAAGCAGAGGGAGACATTGTAACAAAAGATTTCTTCTCATATTGAAAGATATCCCCTTATGTTTATTTCACTTTATCTTATTCGTTCTTCTTGCTCACTATTCTCATTCTCATTGTCAAGAATATACGTATTTCTATTTTTTTATACGATTTGTATCAAATTATATCATATATCCTTAGAACCATACACAAATTTAACTCTATCCAATTTTTCGGGTAAACAGTTTGGCGCCCACCGTGGGGCTAAGCATAACAGTGGTTATTTTTTACGAATCTGAAAAAATACGCCATTGTGTTTTGTGCTTGTTTTCGAAAATATCTTGGATTTCGGATTAACAACGACTACCTACCAATCAAATGGCTTCATCAATCGATAACGAAGTCGGTCTTCAAGATGAGAACAATAACTTGACACCCAGTACCGAAAGATCACTTTTAAACGCCATTGGAGCTCAAATCGGAGTGCCGATAGATATCAATTCGCATGTAGCTATTGAGGCGAACCTACGTGCTGAACCCGAAAATATCATTCATGGTGGCACTCGGTCTGCAGTTCGAGATACCCATAACGTCGAGGAAAACGGCATTAGCTTGCGCATAATTTTTGAAATGTTACAAGCCCAACAAATAGCGATAGCTCAGTGCAGAGCCAAACTCAGGTACAAAGCAGGCCGGAGCCCAATCCGCTTCGAGAAATCACCCACAGAACGAAGCCAGCCATAGTGAAGTCAAAAGAGCAACAATCGGGGATTACTCCCGAAATTACTAAATTGCTCGAGGAACTCACAAAACGAGTCGAAGCCAACGATAAAAAAAGTAGAAACATATAATTCCAGGGTCGATCAGATCCCGAGAGCTCCACCAATGATAAAAGGGCTGGATTCGAAAAAATTCATACAAAATCCTTTTCCCTCGAGTGCAGCCCCAAAACCAATCCCCAAATAATTCCGTATGCCCGAAATTTCCCAATATAATGGTACGACCGATCCCAACGAACACGTCACCTCTTACACGTGTGCCATCAAGTTTAACGATTTGGAAGACTATGAGATCGAATCTGTGTTATTGAAAAATTTCAGAGAGACCCTCTCGAAGGGAGCGATGATTTGGTATCATAATCTGCCACCAAATTCAATTGATTCTTTTGCCATGTTAGCGGATTCATTTGTAAAGGCACATGCTCGTGCCATAATGTTCGCAGCAAGGAAATCGGACCTCTTCAAAGTAAAACAAAGGGGTAGTGAAATGCTGAGGGAGTTCATATCCCGATTTCAAATGGAACGCATGGAATTGCCACTGGTCACATATGACTAGGCCGTCCAACCTTTCACCTAAGGGTTGAACGAGCAAAGTTCAATAGCATCACGTCGGCTGAAACAAAATTTGATCGAGTATCCAGCAATAACTTGGGCGGATGTACATAACCGATATCAGTCAAAAATTAGGGTCGAAGACGACCAGTTGGGAGCTCTTTCCGGATCCATGCATCAGAACAGGACAACTATTAAAAACTAGAGGGACATCAACAGAGAGAAAAGTTCGAATATAGACCGATATCAACCATACGTCGTTGATCGAATGAACAACGTTTCAGCGCACAATTCCGCTTGGAACAATCAAAGGAGTGATCGAAGACAAAATTCTCGGGGGCTTATGAGCAAGAGTGGCTTTGATAAATATGCCGATCCTATAGAGGCACCTCGGCTATCATAGTACAATTTTAGCGTCGACGCATCGGGCATTGTATCGGCGATCGGAAGAATCAAAGATACTAGGTGGCCCAGACCCATGCAAACCGACCCTTCCCAAAGGAACCCGAATTCGATGTACAAGTATCATGGTACGCATGGCCACAGGACCGAGGATTGCATACAATTAAGAGAAGAGGTAGCCCGCCTATTGGATGAGGGCCACCTTCGACAGTTCCTCAGTGACCGAGCCAAGAATCACTTCAGAGAAAGGGACGCCAACAAAAAAGATAAACAAGAGGAACCTCTGCATATCATTCATATGATCATCGGTGGGGTCGATACTCCACAGGGACCCGTGCTTAAATACGCCAAGATACCAGCCATAGGGGAAAAATGAACTCGAGGTTATGTACCCGAGGGCACTTTCTCGGTTTGCAAAATCAAGTCATGCCCTCAGCTCGGGTCTTGAACGGCTTCAATATGGCTAGTGAAACTACTAAAGGGGAGATTACTCTACCAGTGAATGTAGCTGGAACCATCCAAAATACCAAAATCCACGTAATCGAAGGAGATATGAGGTACAATGTCTTACTCGAAGGCCTTGGATCCACAATATGAAGGCAGTGCCTTTGACCCTCCAACCAAGTAATGAAATTCCCTACGTTGGACGGCGTGAAAACAGTATACAGGGAGCAACATGCTGTGAAGGAAATGTTTGCGGTCGATGAGGTAACACTGATACCAACGCCATTGGCCTCGAAAAGATCGAGCACTAAAGATAGACAAGAAACCAAATAGCAATCACAGCCACCAGTCTCGACCGAACCGGTAGAATAGGAAATAGTGGATGACGAGGAAAAGTTTTTGACACCTCGAGATTTCATCGTCCCCGACGACTCCGACGCCACCAAATCTACGATCGAAGAACTGGAGCAGGTTATATTAATCGAATATATGCCCGAGAGAAAGATATACCTGGGAACGGGATTGACCCCCGAACTCAGGGAAAAACTTATTCAGTTTCTTATCGATAATATAGATTGTTTTTCTTGGTCCCATTTAGACATGGCAGGGATCCCACCGTCAATAAGAACGCACCATCTGAGCTTGGACCCTAGGTTCAAACCGGTGAAGCAAAAAAGAAGACCCCAGTCCAAGGTAAAATATGCATTTGTAAAGGTAGAGGTAACTAAACTTCTCAAAATAGGGTCAATTCGGGAAGTAAAATATCCTGAGTGGTTAGCCAACGCAGTTATAGTCCCTAAAATGGGAAAAAAACTTAGAATGTGCGTAGATTATATTTTCCACGGCCTAGCATCGATCGTATGATCGATGCCACAGCCGGCCACAAGATCATTACTTTTCTCGATGCCTACTCGGGGTACAATCAAATTTGAATGAACCCGGAGGACCAAGAAAAGACTTCATTTATCACCAAGTACAAAATCTATTGCTATAATGTAATGCCATCCGGGCTAAAAAATGCAGGAGCTACTTACCAACGCCTAATGAATAAAATGTTCGAAGAACAAATAGGTAAGTCGATGGAAGTTTACATTGACGACATGCTAGTTAAGTCCCTGCGCGCAGAGCACCATTTGACTCATTTACAGGAAACATTCAAGATCTTAAGGAAATACAACATGAAGCTCAACCCCGAGAAATGTGCTTTCGGGGTTGGATCGGGCAAGTTCCTTGGTTTTATGGTATCGAATCGGGGAATCGAGATCAACCCTGACAAAATTAAGGCTATTGAAAACATCACCATCGTGGATAGCGTGAAAGCAGTGCAAAGGCTAACCGGGCGGATAGCTGCCTTAGGCCGATTCATTTCGAGGTCATAAGATCGAACCCACAAATTTTTCTCTCTACTCAAAAGGAAGAACGATTTCGCCTGGACCCCGGAATGCCAACAAGCACTAGAACAATTGAAGTGGTACCTATCGAGCCACCACTACTTCACACTCCGAGGAAAGGTGAGAAGCTTTACTTATACTTGGCGGTATCGAAAATCGTACTAAGTGGCGTCCTAATTCGAGAAGAGAAAGGTACACAGTTTCCTGTTTATTATATAAGTCAAACCTTAGGAGAAGCAGAGACTAGATACCCTCACTTAGAAAAATTAGCACTTGCACTAATAAGCGCCTCTAGAAAGTTACGACCATACTTTCAATGTCACACCATATGCGTTTTAACCACTTATCCACTTCGTAATATTTTGCACAAGTCCGAATTATCGGGTCGATTGGCCAAATGGGCCGTCGAACTCAGTGGGTACGATATCAAATATCAACCCCGTACGACCATCAAGTCCGAAATTTTGGCGGACTTCATGGCCGATTTCACGCCAACCCTCGTACCCGAAGTTGAAAAGGAACTCTTGTTAAAATCGGGTACGTTGTCGGGGGTTTGGACACTCTACACAGATGGTGCTTCAAATGTGAAGGGGTCCGGGCTTGGCATTGTACTGAAACCTCCCACAGGTGGCATTATTAGGCATTGCATCAAAACTACTAGATTAACTAACAATGAGGCCGAGTACGAGGCCATGATTGCCGGTCTCGAGCTAGCTAAAAGCCTGGGAGCAGAAGTCATTGAAGCCAAATGTGACCCTTTGCTTGTGGTGAA